ATGAAAATAGTAAAGCAGTAACTTATTTCTAATGCAATCAGAAATATTCTATAATATGCAAATACTGAACATATTCAAAAATAATAACTAAATATGAATGTAAATTACTAAATAGAAAATGGCACCAACACCTACCCTGTGCTTGAAAACATAAGAGCAACACAGAGAGATCATGGCATGACATCACGTCGTGTTTCTTCTAAAAATATATCTTTAGTTCCTGAAATCACAATATTTTGGGTTCTGTCTAGACAATAATTATTTCTTATTACTAATCTAAATAACCCACATGGTGTTTTCAATTTAAATAACTGAGTACTCAAATAACTTAAATAAAACTCAGATTTATTTAATATGAAAAGAGTTTTGAAAAACAGCTGGCTTAATTATCTGAATCAGAATGTTTTTATTGGTCATAAACATTTGAACCCAAAAAAAATCTGCAATTCAAACTTTATTGTTCCCAAATAAACAAAAAAAACAAAAAAAAAAACAATTGTAAATTCAAACTAGAATATACACGTTATCTATGATTTACAACTTTTAAATTAAATCATATATTACAGGAGGCAAAGTGAGAAGTAAAAGGAAACAAAAATAGCTGAAATCATAAAATGAATGATCTCATTTTCTTTTTGACTTGGAGAAATTTTCAGCTCATCTCCTTTACCAAAAAATTACATTGCAAAAAAGTAAATTCATAGATGAACACAAAAATAAATTAACCAGGTAAAAAGCCCTGACTTTGTTATTGCTAAACTTAAAATCCTGAGTTTTTGATCTGTTAGAATGAACTTAGAACAAATTCTGTATATATGTTAAACAAAATGACATTACTGAAAGGTCAGTTGACTAAGAATGTATGAATCATAAGCTAAATTTACGATTTTGACATTGAAACACAGGACTGTTTTACGAGAGCTTATAATTACCCATAAGAGTCATACAGAAGAGGCTAAAATGATATTTATTACACCTCATTACATATCTCAGCTCCTGTTAACAACTTTTACATCAAATGGAATCCAGTAAAGTGCAGTATCCTGAGAAAAGTACCCCAATAGAAGCCCTCAAGTGATTCAGCTCTCCTCCCCTTAATTGAAGTAAGGGTTGGTCTGGCCTCGGTTCTGACTGTAGGGGTTCATGCCTCCGCTCTGTCCATATGGGTTGCTCCGTTGCACGACGTGATCATAGGGGTTGTTCTGGGGTCGAGAGAATGAGAAAATATAAATTTTTTCCGACATTTCTGTGTGGGTTAGACACAGATATATAGCAGAAGTGAACCCACCGAGTTCCTCCCCGAAGGAATCAAGTTCTGTCGGCTGTTGCTGGGCGTCATCTCCAGGTTGGTCTTGTCCCAGTTGCTAGTGTGTGTGGCCCGTGGGATTCGAGGGGCCCCAGTATTTGCTGAAAGGTTGTATGCTGACTCTTTGACGGAGGGGCCATAACCAAAGCCACTGCCATTAGATACTGGTGCCTTGGCAACAGAATGGCTGTAGTAGGGCTCCAAACTATCTTCCCCTTTCTTGGATTTTTTCTTCTTGTTTCTGAAAACAGTCAAATAACATTGATTTCTGCAGAATGTTTCTGTGCTACTAAGTCCTGCTTATAATTAGATCTGTATGGGAATTGGTGAAACCCTCTATAATTACAACAGCCACACTCACAGAACATAACTTAAATCTATAGCATACATCAGAATCTAGTTTAAGAGAATAACTAACGGAACAAATACTATTTTTCAAATGAAGATAACTTACTTGCTTAAAACTATCGGCAAAACGATCAACGCGATGATCAGCAGGGCTCCAACGATTGAGACAACGATGACGAGGATCAGCGCTGTGTCTAACAAACAATAAAAATAATAGTTAGTAATAAATCACAATTAATGACTTTGCTACAACAGGATCAATTAACATTTTAAAGAGCACTGTCAGTGACATTTAAACAAAGGAAGATATTACTGTACAAGTTGATGTAAAATATTACATAAAAGCTTTAGAGAGAATTTTAGCCTTTTAATGTTACTCAGCTTGTCACTGTCACTTTTCAATGTTTAACATTAGCTTTCATTGTCAAAATAACAGTTTTTCAATAATTTCATTCACTCAGGGTTTAATGTGTGCTAATATATTACTCGAGGGATCTTAAGTTATTTATTTATCAAAGTAGTGCAGGTCTATAGCACCCGGATAACTTCCAATTGCTGCAATTTCAGTAAAGCATAAAGTATTTGATAAATATAATATTTTTTTTCTACAGAACTGAGGGCACAAAGGCTAGTTCACAATATTTTAAAGAACTAGGAAAGCAACAGCTGTTTGTATTTTTTAAAGCATTTTGCAGCTTCGTAAAAAAAATTCAATATGACAATCCAACTCAGGAATTAGAAAACATTTAAACTCTCCCACTCCTAAAGAAAGAAAAAGAAACAAATAGATACTTATAGCTTGACACTGTCATTTTCAGTACTTCATACTCACTGTCATTGCAGTTAATACCAGTGAGGAGAGGAGAACAACTGCAACAAAACAAGAGGTTAATTTAAAACTGCTGTATTTAACTGCTGTACTTAAACAACCATACCAGCAGATGTAAATGATGCACTTACTTGACACAAGTTTCGCCGTCATATTTCTGACCAGGAGGACATGCTATAAAACAAAAATATTACATTGTTATAAATGTAAAGGTATAGACTGTAAATATTCTGCATATTAAACTTTCCTACCTATGCATTCCCTGTCAATGAAGGCACTTGGATAGTAGCCATCTTTACATGTGCAATTGTAAACGCCATTGTCATCTTTACATGTTGTTGTTATAAGATCACATGCTTTATCACAAATTGGCGTGGCTTTATATGGAAAAGAAAAAGGTAGATCAGATCAGCCAACCTGACAACATTGCATGGACATAAAATGAAAACATCCCAGATAGTTTAAATCCTCAGAACTACTCCTGATAAAGTCTTGACAGAAATCAGGCCGCTTGACACCGACACAATGTCTATATTCAGTACTTGTAAAGATGTTACTGTTTAAAATAAATATGCGGTTAAGAAAAAAATCTAAACCGAGCTGGAAAAGAATAGAATAATGGAAAAATCATAAAAACAAATGATGCTGCCAGCCAACATGAGAACTAGACTTCTTATTAATATGGCACTGCTTTTTAGGAGAATAGGAAGGAAATACAGCAAATAACATTTTATCAATATTTCATAAAGAGCCACACAATCAGCATAAATAAGAGTTGATGGATATGTAAAGTTAGAGAAAATAAAAATACACTAGAATCCTCACAAGAAATAAATATTTATGTTGAACTCACTTTCAGCTGTTCCCTCCAGTGGACACTTCTTCTCACTGTCATTGCAGACAACTTTTTTCAATTCTTCATCTACTCCCCCAGTTGTTATTTCAGCATCGTTATCATAGATGATTTCTACTGATGCTTCAACTTTCCCTGTTTCTGACCTTGCTTTGCTTTGTAATGATCTCCTATGTGAATAAGAAAACATCAGAAACATTGGATTAGTCTACATCACACTGTAACTTGTCTCTGGTGGATGGAATACACTGTTTTACTCTCAAGCTTACCGGAGTTCCAGCACAACAGAACGACTGTATTTAGCATTCGACGAGAACTGGTCGTTCAGCTGTATTTGAAAACAGGTCAAACCTAGTCAATTACATCCTATTCAAGGCAATATTTAAGAAACATACAACAAAATGGCTTCAATATGTGGAGCAGAGGGGAGATGGATGTTACTCCAATACATTTATAGTAGGGTAGTCTGGTGCAAATAAAACAAGGAGAAAAAATAAATGGCTGCTTACCGCTTTAGTAATTTTGTCTGCAGTCTCTCTGAATTTCGCTGTTTTTTTGTCACTCATAGCTTCCTCATATTTATCCAACAATTTCAGTAGTTTAGGGAAAACTTTGGCTGTTTGGGGAAAAAATGATAATTATAAGGAAATTTAAACAAATAATCATACAAACAGAAATAATAATATTGAAGCAAATTACATTTTCTATCTATTTATTATCTAATCACGTTTTATAGATTGAATAGAAGCCAAATGTCTGTTAAAATACTATTAAACTGGCAACCTCATTGTTGACTTAATTGTAGAATTATCTCTTTATCTTATTAAAGAACTTTAAATCGAATAGAATAACGCTGTAGTGGCTGATATAAAACTGGAGTTTTGTGTTAAATTGAAGGGAATGGCTTCATAGCATTTGTGTGTTTTACACACATAAATACATGTTATCTGTGTAAAAGACCAGATTAAAAAACAGACATGTTCTAACTAGTTTATTTCCACCAACGTTTATGATAATTGGTCATAAATAGGAGCTTTTACATACATCTACATTGCTACTTTAAAGGTTAATATTACTGTAAAATTCAGAACTATAGGCTATAGTTATATTATTGATTCATAAAGTGTAACCATGCTAATTTTTTGACTTAAAGAAATTTTAATTTTCTTTTATTTAATAGTAGGAAATAAAGCCCACATTAAAAGGTTTTAGTAAATACTAGCATCAATGATATCAACATTCATTTTAATAGCGTTAGAGCAAGAGAACTAAAGCATTTTCCAAATCAATCTTTGACTATCAATTAGTTTAATTTAAAAGTCACTAATAAAATAACGACATTAAGCTATACAACTGTAAATCCCTTCAGTGAAACTTTGCAACACATTTTAGCATAGATTCTAACTGCACAGGTTTCTGCACTTAGCAAGTAAAATATTACAGTGTTGCTCAACACCCAGATACTTACCCCTTTTACAGCTGTTGTCAATATAATCGTCACCAGGCAGACACAAACACACGAATGTCTGGTGACGGTCTTCACAGGTGCTTCCACCAAGACATGGGTTTGAATCACACCCAACTTGACAGTCAAAACGAGAATCACAATCACACAAGGTAAGAATTTCATATTTTAAGTAAATTATGTGCTCATTTATTCTAATTAAGCAATGCATTCTGAGTTTATATATCTACTACCAAAGTATCTCAATTACTTGGAGGCGTGGTTGTAGGTGCTGCAGTGGTACCGGTCGGATCTAGGGTTGCTGAAGATCCAGTGCCTGGTGAAATAGTTGTGCCACCTGTAGGATTAGTTCCTCCTGAAATTGTTGAACCTGATGCAGCTTGAGTTGTAGCTGTTGAAGGATCTGCAGATCCTGTAGGCACTGTGGCTGTTGGAGCAGCTGTAGTTCCNGGGGAGAATGTGCTTACCTCGTCAGTAATTTCCTTTGCAGTGGTATTGAATGCTTCTGATGTTTTGATGCTCATAGCATCAACATAATCTTTCTCTAATTTCAGTAGTGCAGGGAAAACACTGGCTAATTGAAAAAAACAGGATAGATATAAGAAAGTTACTTAAGAATCACACAAACAATAATAAGAATATTGAAGCAAATTACATTTTCAAGTGACAATTTATTATCTAATCACATCTGTAAATTGAAAACTAGCCTATTCTTTTAAAATAATATTGACTTGGTAACCTCATTGTTGACTTAATAACTGGATGAACAAAAGGTTTAAGTTATTGTAGTATTATCTCTTTGTTTTAGACAAATAACACTAGAAAGTAGGTGCTTGTTAAAACTGATCAGTAAATTGTCTTTTTGTCTCTATTGAGTCTGAAAATTTTATTCAGGTTAGAGGAAACCGTAAACTATAAGGACTAACACTTTAGTGGTTGATATAAAACTGAGCTTTGGGGTTCAAAATAAGTGGCTTTCAGAATTGTTTTGCATTTTATGTACATAGCATAAAATATATGTTATCTGTGTTACAGACCAAATGTAAAATAGGAATATTTTAGCTAGTTTATTTACACACCGACTGAAAAATAAAAAAAATAGCTAGAACAATTTCCGTATTTTGGTTTTCAAGCTCATAATAATATAATTCATAATCATAACTCATATTTTTGCATCTAACAATGTTCAGTTTAAGTTATATTAAACTATACGTGTGAACTTCATTTTTTTCCCTAATATATGATATTTACATAAGTTTTACCTTCAAAGACTTAATCATGTGTTTTTTTATTTATAGAGTCAAAAGGCTAATACTCAAAGTTTAATTTTGTCCTATAAAAGTGTGATGAAAACCATCCATAAATATGAGCTTTCATATTACACTTTTGAGTTATTCATTTATCCTTATAGAATGCAATATTCTGAATGAGATTTAAATCTAAATTATTACTTAAAAAGTTACAGTAACCATACAAATCAGAACTATAGGTTCTAGAAAAGCCAACTGTATATTTTTGATACATCAACTGAAATCATATTCTTTTTTTTTTTTTTTTTTTTTCTTGCGTAGAGAAATTAGATTAGAAATTAGAAAATAAGGCCCACACTGAAAGTCTTAAAACTGTAGTAAACACTAACAGGAGGTAAAATGATGTCAACATTCTTCTTTTTAAAAAGATGATAGAGCAAGAGAACCAGAGCATTATTTTTCAACTTGTAGCTGTAGTGAAGTTCATTCACATAGATATATATTTAATTTAAAAAAATGCAAAAAATGAATTGCCTTTAATGAATGGACCACATTAAACTACAGAACTGTATATCCTTTTATAAACTGTATATACTTTGTAACACATTGTAGCATAGATTCTAACTGCTCAGGTTTCTGCTCTTAGCAAGTAAAAGATTACAGTGTTGCTCAACACCCAGATACTTACCCCTTTGACATATGTTGTCTTTATAAATTTCACCAGGCAGACACAAGCACTCGAATGTCTGGTCATAACGGTCATCACAGGTGCTTCCACCAAGACATGGGTTTGAAGCACATGGACCTTGACAGTTAAGAAGAGAATCACAATCACATAAGGTAAGAATTTCATATTTTAAGTAAATTATGTGCTCATTTATTCTAATTAAGCAATGCATTCTGAGTTTATATATCTACTACCAAAGTATCTCAATTACTTGGAGGCGTGGTTGTAGGTGCTGCAGTGGTACCGGTCGGATCTAGGGTTGCTGAAGATCCAGTGCCTGGTGAAATAGTTGTGCCACCTGTAGGATTAGTTCCTCCTGAAATTGTTGAACCTGATGCAGCTTGAGTTGTAGCTGTTGAAGGATCTGCAGATCCTGTAGGCACTGTGGCTGTTGGAGCAGCTGTAGTTCCNGCTGTAGCTCCTGTAGCATCTGTGGCTGTTGGAGCAGCTGTAGCTCCTGTAGCATCTGTGGCTGTTGGAGCAGCTGTAGCTCCTGTAGCATCTGTAGCTGTTGAAAGATCTGTAGCTGTTGAAGGATCTGGAGATGTACCTGCTGTGAAGGCATAGTAGTATTGGATTCCATTAAAAAAGCTGTTTTTTCTAGTATTATTCCAAATTTTACAAAAACATATTTAATAATATAACATAACTAAAATAATTAATGCTTTAGTTAATTATTGGTCATCTTAGCTAAATCATTTACGGGTTTATTAATGTTTTGTTTATGTATTTATTTGCAAAGAAACATAATTCAGAGCCCGTCCTTTGTTTTGGTATTGACATACATGTTTTTATTTTTTTATTGTTGAAGCTAAAATAAACAGAAGTCCGTATTTTGCGTTTCTTGCTGTCTTAGGCTGATCTTTATCAATTCGTTACAAATAAAGATGTAGATAAATAATCGACTTTCTTTTAAATGATCAAAATTTGCTCCACCTGAATAACTGATAATCTCCGCTTAGAAAGGATTTCTTTCAGTGTTGTAACGTTACCTTTGTCCACTACAGGGCGCTGTTGCTCATTCTTATCCAAAGGCTCGTATTTGCAGTAGCAGAAGCATAAATCAATACATTTCGGGTACTAACACCCTTTAATTGTATTAAGGATGCAGAATCCACTTTATGCCGTTTTGCTTGAAAAAATAAACACTCAATAAAAACTTTAAAATATCACCTACCTAGCTCCTATTTAACCACCTGTTTAAAGCCGCTGCTAGCAGTAAAGTCACTCCTAGCACTAAATGCAGGTTTATGCTAAAAACTGAAACTTATGTCTCAACAATTCCGAAAGCTTCTTTTAATGGTAGTTCAACATCTTTGCAAATTTGAAGTGATAAGTGTTTCACATATTTCATTCATCTTTTCTGTTGTTCAATAACCTAAAAGGGTTCCCACTTGAATATAATAAAGTTTTTTTCATTCAGTTGGCCTAGTTGATACAGCTGGCGCATTTTTAAGACAAAAATCTGCAACTAATTTTAGTTCAACATATTTTTATAAATATTTAGTATCTCTTGTTAATGGAAAGACCCTTATAATACATGAGAAAATATGTAGGTTTTTTAACGGCTGCTTCAGTTAATGGTTAGTCAGTTGATTAGATCAGTCAACTTTAGATTAGTTCATTAATCCATAACTTGCATCCCTGTTTCCAGCTGATACAATTAATCTGTCCCTAACATGCCTCACATATAAATCTTCTAATCTTTTTCTTTCCTTACTACAAAGGTTTACAAATAGTTTGTCCATTTTTGTCTTGCAGAGCATCTAAATTAAGAGCACAGTGGTGTTTTTGGTAATAAGAAATTGATATGTGATTATTATGAAATAAGAATTAATTTTGAATTATTTAAAATATTTTTTTATAGAAAAGCAAAGATTCCTTTCTAAGAAGGAAAAAAAGATCTAATAGGTACAGAAGAATGTGTTCCTTTTCTCACAATGACTTACATACAAAATAAATGAAAAATCAAATAAAGCACTTACAAACAGTCCAAACAGCAATCAAAAGGAATGTCAAAAACAATATTTTGGCCATTTCCAACCTGAAGGAGAAAAAAAAACCCAAAGAGTGAAAGCAGTGAACTATGCCTCGAAGTCACCTGAGTGCCTGAAAGTGCAGACTGAATGTGAAATCAGCCCTGACAGAAGTTTTAATCAGTAGGCACTCCTCCCAGGGCGTTGCTAGGCACTAAATGAGTGTCTAAAAATAAAGGGAAAAAAATCTTATGACCATGTTTTTTTTTTTATTTTATTTTTTACTTCCTTATAGCTATCCAAGATCATAAACATGTCTTTGCCACAGATGTTAAGGACAACTGAAAGTAGGACACTGTTCAAATGCATTGGCCTGAATATGTTTTTTAAAAGAAACTAATAAAACACAACTTGATGGTTGTGGTGATAAACCAGATCCTATACCACTTAAACATTTTCCATTTGGGAAAATGTTTGGTCCACTAAAAGAAATGCATCATAGTCATATCATAGCAATAACAGGGACATGAAAAGATGGGTTTATTATTTTGACTTCATGAGTTCAAAATATTTTTTATCATTCCATTGCAGGAGAAACAGCTGCAGTTCATAAAGACTTTTAACTGATTCAGAAAAAAGGAAAGCTAGACAGAGTTAGACTTTTTCCAAACCATAGATTAAAAGGATTTTTAGAACCAGGTGTCATTAAAAGAGGTATAGCTTACCTAAAACTGCTTTATTAAATACTTTTTCCTTTGAACTTTGCACTTTTTCAAAATCATATTTAATGACAGAAGTGTTCTAAATAAATATCATGGTTACAAAAATAATCTTACATTTGAGATTTTCTTTTATTTCTAAATTACATGATGATTTCTACTTTGTTTTTTGTTTTTTACCCACAATAATAGAGAATCAGTCATTCATATGGCAGGAACACAATTCTTTCAGGGATGTAAACAGATGTGGTCAGGAGGAATTGCTGAAACTCAAAGAGAGCATCAAGTAGAACTTGAATTAATTTGAAACTAATATGGTAGCAAACAGGCTGGTATAAGCATTTTAGAAGTTAAAAACTACTGAGACCTTCACTCTAGACCACAACAGGTTTACAAATAGAGATGATTATCAGCACGGTTTGTCTTGACACACTTTGGGCCTTCAGACGTATACCTGCAGATCATGTTTTCATTGTCTAGACCTGCTTATCATTGCAGAGCAGCAGAGGGTCTGAAGCAGTTAATGTGTGAAAGGCAGGTTATACCCTAGATAGGTTTCCAGTCCATTACACAGACATAGAAGGCTAACAATCCTACACACATTCACTCACACCTTAGGGAAACCAATCAACCTAACCATAATGTTTTGGGCCTGTTTAAAGAAGCCAGAGTATGTGGAGAGGAACCAAACATGGAAAGATCCAGACTTCAGGGCAAGATTCAAACCCAGGAAGCTTCTTGGTGAAATCCAACAGAGTACTCACTATTCCATCTAGCTCAATGCTCTCAGATCATTTTAATACATGATTATAAGTTCACTGTATGAAATTTAGACCTGAGTGAATTTATGTT